TGGCGTTGGTATTGGTAAGTACGTAAATCATCGCTTTATCATTGTGCTTTTCCTTTGGAGCTCTTCACCATACAACGCGCACATCAATAATAGCGGCCAAGATAGTCACACTAAACGATTCGAGCTCCAGTTTCGGCCCCGATTTAAGGCTCGTTCGTACAAGAGCTGAAAAAGTGCTTTACAATCTGCACAGGTGGCCCAAGCTCTGTCACAGGCTCTTTCACAGTGAATAATTAAAGAGTTTGTATAGTGGTTTAGTTGGACTTGCTTTTGAGCACCGTAAATGCAAACCTAGGCCTGGACCCTAGTCAAATCTCTCTCAACGGGTCCTCCCCATAGTCTTCTAACACCAACGCTTCACACATACTGAGGTACCCCGGGTAAACTCATTGACTTAACTAGCTATAGATCGTCGAGACTGTCCATCTTAACTTCACTGTTTTCTTGTTATACTTGATAACAACAGAAATACCAGGTATTACACCTGGCTTTACACCAACTTTACGCTGTGCATAAAGGCCTCTTAAAGAAGTCTCATTACTCTAACTTTACGTTAAAGCGTAAAGGCCGCGTAAAGCGGGCCTTTACGAAATGTAAATGTGGCGTAAAGCTGTTTATGGTAAAACTTTATGGCTTTATGGCTAAACTTTACGCTAACCTTACGCCAACTTAAATTTGTTTTTCACGCTGTGATGACTTCCACCCATGTTATTCATGTACGTAATTGCAGTAGTGTTATCAATCATAACGCGCACATATTGAACCCTCAGGTCCTGACAGAATGTTTGTAATGCAAAAAATGCAGCTTTCATTTAAAGGGCATTAATGTGTAGTTGCTGTTCATTGTGGGTCCATCTACCCCCAGTTGATTTTGTTTGATAAACAGCAATCCAATCCATGTTAGAGGCATCTGATTTAAGGATTATAAGAGGGTTAGGATGATTGATTGGATTCTTAGCGTTTTGAATGTTTTGAATCCATCACCGTAGATCTTGTTGTGCTAAGTTGGAAAGGGTCATAGGAGCATCGTAATCTCCTTGTGACTTCTTCAGAGCCCTGATCTTATCAGTTTCTAGTTGACGATAATGCAAAGGTCCATAAAGGCAACCCTGAAAAGCAGCCACAAACTTTCCTATAACCTCAGCGAGTTCTCGTATCGTGGGGTTTGGTTTTTCTAGCAGACTCTTTGCTGCCTCTTTGATACTGCTCTCTCGGGAGTTAGCGATACTACCGTACACTCAGAATCAAGGATGAAACCCAAGAACTTGAGTTGTCGGGTTGGAACTAACACTGATTTTTCTGGGTGCACCAGAAATCCCAGAGAAGTAAACAAGTTGACTGTTTGCTGAATGTTATTTTGGCAATTTTTAATGGTGTTGCCTTGTAAGTATGAATCATCGATATATGCGACAGATACAGAAACAATGTTCTTATAGAATTCAGATTTTTAAATGCGCGAGAACGCGCGTGGAAATTGCTTAACTCACGAAAGCTATTGCATGAAAACAAGTCCGGTGAGCCCTTCATTTAATTGTTCCAAAATGATAATAACGTCGAAAGGAATCATCAGGAAAAAAAACTAGAAAATTCTACGGAAGGAAATCTGCGAGGTCTGAAAATTGCCTTTTTTCTAGATTTTCTGAAATTCCGCTTCGTAGAATTTTTTAAAAATCTTTGTGCATTTTCCTTTTAAAGTGCCAAAAGCAATCACTGACAAAAATCATGGGGTCACGGGTTAGTTTTCGAATTATTTAAAAAATGTGTCTGAGTAAGCCTACGAAAGCGTTGCCATGGAAACTGCTAGTGACGAAATGACATCTATTTTTAGATAACCAATGATTATATAATTCAACCCCGTAAAACGGTTCAACTGGCCTTGGTCAGTCTTTCTGTTGTCTTCTTTCAAAGTTACAAACCATCAAAAACATGAAAACCGGTACGAGCCACCTTAACTCACGAAAGCTATTGTATGAAAACAAGTCCGGTGAACCCTTCTTTTTATTTTTCCAATATGATAACAACGTCGAAAGAATCATCAGAAAAAAAAACTTGAAAATTCTACGGAAGGAAATTTCCGATGTGTGAAAATTGCCTTTTTACTAGATTTTCTGAAATTCCGCTCCGTAGAATTTTTTAACAATCTTTGCGCATTTTCCTTTTCAAGTGCCAAAGCAATCACTGAAAACAAATCATGGGGTCAGCGGGTTAGTTTTCGAATTAGTTTAGCCACAAGCTAAAAAATGCGTCTGAATAAGCCTATAAAAGCGTTGCCATGGAAACTGCTAGTGGCAAAATGACACCTATTTTTGGATAACCAATGATTATATAATTCAACCCCGTAAAAGTGTTCAACTGGCCTTGGTCAGTCTTTCTGTTGTATTCTTTCAAAGTTACAAACATCAAAAAGATGAAAACCGGTATAAGTCACCTTAAAAGCGCCTTTTTTGCTCATGTTTCCTTTATTGCATGTAAAACATTAGATTATTTTGTATCATATTTTGGTAACATTTGTTAGTTGTTCCCGTTTATTTTATATTATTTACTGCCCTCTACTCTATTTTGGGCTTGTCTCGTGTGATTTGCTTGCTGTTTTGCTGTTAGTTTGTATTTACAATAAATTACTTTGGAAATCCTTGAATCTTCTCCGTTCCTATTCGCTCGACCGCTGCATCCTGTTACAGAAATGTTTTCGGGCTGCAGCTGGTTTCTTATAAAACGACTAAGGATACTTTTTGTTTGTTGTATGAACCCTCAGTGCACCAGGTAGAGGTGTGTATCCCCGTCGGGTTTGGTNAAGTTCTTGGAGTGGTTATGATGAGATTTTTTGCTGTGGCCGGCAATTCTTGTTTAGTTATGAGCTGGTTGATCGTATTCTTGACGGAGTTTTGATTGCTGGCAGTGAGGTTTCACCCTCACAACCACTCAGTTAAATCCATCATTCTTAAAAACTTTAAATTACTTCAAAACGATCCAGAGACAAGCACTATCTTTTCGCAGCCTCCGCTCATTTCATTCAAACGCGACAAAAACATAGGCAATTTTTTGGTCAGAAGTTCTTTTCAGACTAATGACCAACCAGGCACTTTTAAATGCGCTCGTGCACGATGCAAAACGTGTCCTTTCATTCACAACACTGATAAAATATCGGGACCTAAACGATCCATTAAGATCACCGATCACTTCACGTGCACCTCCGCCAATGTAATCTATTGCATAACTTGCACTTATTGCAAAAAGATATACATCGGCGAAACAGGCAGAAGACTAGGTGACCGATTCCGAGAACACCTTCGAGACGTGGAAAGGAATGACAAGGACACATCGAAACCAGTCGCTAGACATTTTAATTTACCTAATCATTCTAAGCAACATATGGCAATCTGCGGTCTTTCCTTACACTTAGGTAGCACGGAAAGCCGTAAAACTCTTGAACAAAAGCTCATCTTTCAAACCGGCAGTCTAAATCCCACAGGGATCAACGAACGCTTTTCATTCCACTAATTTATTCGTGTTTTTCTCGTTGCCATGTTCCCACCAATAACGTAGCTCCATTTTCTGCCTTTAAAAGCACACACAACCCACAATTCCTCTATTCGCTCCGACGAAGGGCTAACGCTCGAAACGTCAGCTTTTGTAATCGTTACGGTGGCCAATTTACCATTTCAACTTTGTTGATATATCCAAATTATTTCGTTACCCCCACCGACGCAGCCCCAAACAGTTTCTTTAGAAACTATCAGCCTTTATTCATTTTTACACAATGTCTAGGGAACTGTCCCGGAGTAAGGCTCAAACATTGATGAGCATCATTGCAATTTATTCCGAAGGTTTTAAAACGAGGATACTCAGTGGAGTTTAGTGCCGAGATAGTAGACCCCAAGGTCAAAACCGTTTCCTTCCATGTTGAAGTTTTGTCGGAAAAGCTTCTCCCTTGAACAGTAGAACTAAACCTGCAATTAGGTTAAAATTTTGTCAGCTTGTTTTTTTAGCAGTAAATAAGACACAACTTTTATTTTGAATTTCTCTAACTTTAGATACCTCTATGCTAAAAGTTTTTTTTTTTTTAACGAAAATACTGCTTATTCTTTATTCAGCGAGTACCTTCGGAAACAACGGAACAAGTAGTGGAAAAAGATACTTTACCTGGTGGGTAATGTTAGGTCTCTCGCTTAAGACGATTTTTGTGACCCAGAAATTCTTATTTGATGATTACGCCATTTGACGTAATCAGACATCTATGGCACTTGATATATTGATAAGGATAGAATTAATTCTCCAACCTTTCCGTTTACTCATGCACATGTGACAGTCACTCGATATATAATTTCTATATATTTTGTTTTTTTTTATTAGAAGTTTTTGATTTAGCAGGGTATGATTTTTAGGAATATCTTTAACAGTAGCTTGAAAGTAGTTTTCCTATTTAAATTCATGACTCATACACAAGGGCGGGTGTGCAGCTCGAACTAGGAGCCCGAGTATTTAATGCCGTCCGACAAAGTTACACAAATAGTAAACAACTAGTCATCACCTCTCAGGCTTAAACGTTTAGTGTGCCGCCGCCTGATATGAAAACCCCAAAAAGCCAATGGGAAAAATGGGAACGTATTCCCCATCCAAATGCAGGCGCACCGACCTCTGGGGGTTAGAGGTAAAACAGCTTAATTACGTGCAAGATAAAATTTTAACATAAAACTAGGAAAGTTCGAGAGCTGAGATGCATACATTACAAATGTCAAACCTTAAAAACACCATACAACAAAAGACTCAATTAGCGCCATAGCTGCCCACGCGCTAACATACCAATAGGAAAATATTTACATTCTTTGTCACTGCCACTTACAGTTTAGTTCTGCCGAATGTAAATACGTTCACAGAGCCCTCGAATGTAGTTTCAAAGAGTCTTCGAATGTAGTATCACAGAGCCTTCGAATGTAGTTTCACAGAGCCTTCGAATGCAGTTTCACAGGGCCATAGAAAGTGGTTTCACGGTGCCCTCGATCGTGCATGGATCCACTCTTAAGTAAAAGTAAACTTTAGGTGTAATTTAGTTGAGTTTCTGCTGCCGTCCTGTACTGTTAGACTTAGAGAGGCCTAGAGAGCTAGAAAACTTGCTCTTGGCAAGGTAGGATTGTTCATGCTGTTTGTTACCTTAAGTAGATGTGCTTGACCCTTTTATTACTGGATCGCTGAGCTTGTTATCTAGAGTGTAAAACCTCCAAATTCACTTGGCCGTCATTTTGTTTCTAGCTCGCCTCTGCATTTGCTTTCTCGTGTTGAAAAAGCGGGCAAATTCGTTTTTTTCTTTACTGACATTTTTCACTCTATTTTATTCTGTTGTTATTCTAGCTGGAGATGCGCGTTTGTTCCAAAACGTGCCCGCTTCATTGGTTTCTTTGTTTGCACAATTTTCGCACAGTCTGTCATAATTTCAATCAGTTTGTTGCAAAACAACGTCTGTATATTTTGCAACTCTTGCTGTTGGGCTATATTTCCTCAGTTTTGTTCTCACGTTTCGTTCGTTTTGTTTCGCCCTAGTTCCACCTTCAATTTCATAGTTTGCCATTTATTTGGTCAGAACCTTTTGTTCGCGAATTAGTGCTTTCCTGTTCTATTTGATGTTCTTAGATACGCTCTAACCTTGCAAACTTCTATTTAGAATCCTCTTGTTGTTTAGCTGTAGTCGGCTTACACGTTTTTGATGTAGCGTTTGTCATCGTTCTCAGCCGTTCAGTTTGTCGATCACGCGATTCGTTTGTGCCACACGCGTCGAGTAATTTTGTCAGTAGCTCTCGAGTTTCAGTCGTGTGACCATAAGTCACATCCGTCACACGCCTTTTCTGTTTATGTTTCCTTTATTACATGTAAAAACATTGGATTATTTTGTATCATTTTTTTAAAGGTAACGTCTGTTAGTTGTTCCCGTTTATTTTATACTATTTACTACCGTCTACTTTATTTTGGGTTTCTGTCTCGTGTGATTTGCCAGCTGTTCAGCTGTTAGTTTGTATTTACCATAAATTACTTTGGAAATCCTTGAATCTTCTCCGTTCGTACTCGCTCTACCACTGCATCCTGTTACACAAATTTTTTTAGCTGGTTTCGTAAAGAATGTCTATGAGGATCTTTCTTGTTTGTTGTATGAACCCTTAGTACACCAGGTAGCGGTATGCATCCCCATCGGGTTTGGTCAAGTTGTCGAGTGCTGACAGATGACGATTAACTCTTTCACTGCCAAGATCTCAGTAGCAATTCTCCTTACTGTCTGCCATACAATTCTTATGATGTTGGATGGAAGAATTTGGTATTGGATCAACTAATAATCCCCTAATTGACACTTTCATTTATTCTCATCACGTATCTGCTTGATTTTGAGTTGATATTGTAAGGAGAAATTCTTTTTGGTCACTCATGGCAGTTAAAGGGTTAAGAGAGTTTTAGTGACTGAAATATTTCGTATTTGATGTATTTGCCATTTGACACAGACTGACAGATGACATAACAGGTATAATGTTATAACAGGAACTATTAACTCTGTAACGTCTCCATTAAATCTTGCACATTTGTTATCGATTGGTCATTTCAAAATTGACAAACGATTTTTTTTTTAATTTGTTATATCAACCCTCAGTGGACCTGGTAGAGGCTACTTTGTCCCCTTTGGTCATGTTATCGAGTGCTACAGATGACGATGGCAATAAAATGACTGCTGTTTTCTCGGCTTCCTTTTTGTGAGAGAACAAGAAACGGCGGAACAGTCTGTCCACCATCTTGATATTAATGTTCGTCCACTGATTAAAGGGCATATCGTCTACCTATCACAGTAACTGCAACTTGGCCTACCATCAGTTTTTAAATTCAGTAGAAGTTAGCAGGCTTGTCTTAAGGCAAGTAGAATTTACGAAAGTATGATATTTAAGTAAATACTTTGTCCTTAGCTACCAGACGTTTGTAAAAAGAAAAACAAAAAACAAAGCATGTGAACTAATTGTAATTTTTAAAAGCCGAGACAGCATTATACACCAAAGTGGGAGGAAAAACGTGGATACATTTTCTGTTAGGGTCGCAGTATTTGGGTTTCAAAACCGCAAATAGTTTGTATTGTGATCGATTAACATAACGAGGATAAATGAAACCGTTGACGAATCTCTTAGTTCCCGATCAATTAATATTGTTATACTTTCCTTCTGCCTAACATACGTCATGACAACAGCTTCTCAAATAAATGATTAAAAAAGAACTGTGTTAAATAGACAATGAAAACAAATAAATAAATAAATAAAACAGCCTTTCTTTTTCTCTGATTTGAGTTTACATGAGTATTGCAAAATGTCAAATGATATCGAATACGTTCCAGTATTCGCCAGCTTCGAACCACAGAAATAAGTAAGGTGACCCTTCTCCCACACATCCTTTTGAAATTTTATTTTTAATTTCCTTTTAAATTTAAAACATTCTAAAGGCTTCATCTCAACTCCATGACAAGTTCTATTCGTGCAAAACCACCTCAATGACCTCAATGACCTCAATGACCTCTATGGTGAAGATACATTTTTCCGGAAAACCAAACGGTAATTGCCAAAGGTTTATGAACAGCTTTATGTTCAGATGAACCACTCAATGATGTAACACTCTACTGAAGGACACTCGTAAACAATTATTATAAATGTGAAGAAAAGAACATTTAGTAGGGATGTCGTGAAGTGTTTACAGCTTCAAGATCTACAGCCTTCCAGATAGTTGGAGACAAACCTTCGACCTTACAATGATAGTGATTAAAGATGTTATGCTAAATTTTATTTTCGTTGTTATTATTATTATTTGTTTCTCGATGTTAGGAGTATCCGAAGTTCTGTGAACCTTTTCTCGGTCGTTCGAGATTGTTATTTTAATGAAAAAGGATCGACCATAATTTTCAGGAGGCATCTTGCCATGCCACGGAAATTACATAAGGATTAAACTGAGATCCTACGAAGGTTTCGTTGACAATAATTTATGAATACAGCGTGCAAATGTTCTTTCAAGATCACCTTTGGTGGAGAATTTCTTAGCAAATGCTGTTTGCTTGAACTTAACTCTCACCTTCATATTTCGCGTAATACTTTCAATGTGCGCCTATAAAAATGCCTCTTAAAGAGGATGACTCAACTTGCAAGGGGAGATTTTGTCACAACATCACCTCTACACCAACAAAAGAGAAGAAAAGACCCACGCGAGGTGTAAATAATACCAATAAGCCATAGGATCTCGGTGACAAGAAAAAAAAGCTTATCATGTACTGCTGAAATTAGATGCTAGTAACTTTTAGGGGTTAAAGGACCAAGGAAGCTTGCCTACAATCATCCTGTGTGATTTTCTAAACCAAAAGAAACTTGTCAAAGGTGTGTTCTATGGGAGATCCTTTCACCTTCTGCCGCAAAGTATTTGTGTTTCAGCTGATGATTTTGCTTGAAATTAAACAATATCTTATGGTTTGAAAGAAGTAAGATGATTGAGGACCACAGTGATCATATACATTTCTCCTATTTCTACACTGGCCATTGAGAAATAGCTAAGTTTCGCCAAAGATGTCAAAGTAAAATCAAATGTTTGACTTAGGGTCTAAATTGTTGATGATAAAGTTTATTTGTCTTGCTCTTTTTTCTCCTTTCTTTATTTTAGCCCGGTGTCGAGATGTAAGAATCCACCCCATGATAATCTGAGGTGATCACTTCCCAGGGAAGTTTTGGAGAGGATTCGGGATTCTTGTGGTTTGGCGAAAGCATTGGATAGTCTATTTCTGGCTGAAACCATTTTAATAAAAATGTTTATATCAATACTCTACCGTCTGTCATACAACAGCTACAACTGTAGGTTTAGCTTTAAGTATTTAATTTGAAATCAATCATCTGGAGGAGATACTTTAGCTGGCTGTATAGTGCTCAATACATAAAGTAGAGCGTAAATAGAAGTAGTAAAATCAACAACGAAACAAAGTTTCCGCGACTCGTAGTTTCATGCTTTCGCAATCATCAGACGGTGATGATTGCGAAAGCATGAAACTAAGACTCACGGAAACTTTGTTTCGTTGTTGATTTTACTATTTCTAATTTGAAATCAAAAGATATTCCCTATCTTGCGATCCACATCAGAAATGACTACATCATTCGACAAACGATTGTTCCTACTGAACAGCTAAACGTTTGGTTGCTGTTCTTGGCGTTTTTATGGTTTTTGTTATCCTTTTTTTTATATCATATTCAACGTTACATCTTTTATGCCTGCGATATTTCACAAAGAATTTGTACTTTCCTCCCCTATTCGCGATCCATTTTCCCGCTTTCTGGGTACCAAGTGAAGGGTGATTTTAGCTGAATGTGGCTGAAAAACATCCTCTTCCTTAATCTCCATATAATTTGGATATATCAACAAAGTTGAAATGGTAAATTGGCCACCGTAATGATTACAAAAGCTGACGTTTCGAGCGTTAGCCCTTCGTCGGAGCGAAGTTAATTTCCATATGAGCGAACTTAATCTCCATAGGCTGATACCCTGGAAGCGAGGGTTAGTGTTCCTAACTGTTTCCCTCGTTATCACGCAAGACCAGATTAACTACCGGTTACGGTTCGAAACGGCGACAAAATGGCGGCAAGTCAGAGTATTTTTCATCATCATCCCTTTTTTGTACTAGCTATACCGATAAAGGGAGTCTGGGAACTACATTTGTTCCCTGGTAGTCACACATGCGCAAAACTGACTTTCTCTTCCGCTTTCATTTTGAAAGCAACATCGAGATGGCAACTGGCCAGAATTTTAAAGAATGCTGTTCTATTTCCGAGTCTTGTATACGACCCGATTGATTTATATGTAAACTGAATAATTTACTTATTTCGGCACGACTAAATCGAGCTAATTTATCACACGATGAGAAATGGTCCCGGGATTGTAGAATCATAAAGCGTCGCAGGTGCTAGATTTTGTACCGAGGAATATTCTCAAACTGTAATGATATCAGCGCATTAATGAAAGTACGAGCATACATGGTAAATAAGAATTCTGTTTTGACTTTGTGCGCATTTTCTTTCTTCAGGAGTCGTTACAGTGAGGCAGTTGACAGAAAGTCTTTATCGCTTGCTAAGGTAATAATAACGGATGCGTTGTTGGTGGTGGTTTACGCAAACTTATGATCACACTTTTTAATTGATACCAATGTTGAAATATCTGTTTAGCTTTGTGGCCAAAATTGGTAATCTGGTCTCAAATTGGTGAGCTATAATGAAACATCAATATTGTTTCTAGAATTAGCTTATGTAAACATGGCTGAGTTTGTATTCCTGATTTGCAACAACCTTTAGTTATCATCTGGCAGAGTTCTCAGCTATTTAATTTTCACTGGCTGCTCTTAATCTACAATAATCAACTAAGAGCAGATCCGTGCAAGAATCAAACAAAATCGCAAATCTTTGGCAAAGGTGAAAAAAATAAAATTCAATTGTATTTTGCATATAGATAGCCTTTAGTGAGTATATGAATGCCATGCAGTTTTTTTCTTGAATTATTTGTTAATTCTTGAGAAAAACGATCTGATGGAAGCCGTTTTCAACTTAGGCACAATTTGGCGATCCCAAACACGTGCAAACAGGGGGGAAATTAGTCATGATTCACTTGACTCGCTTGTCAAAACTGCTTCGCCAGAAAAAGCCGTCTTAGTTCCAATTTGTTTTATAACTTGCCATGGTCTAAATAACACGATTTCCTAAGCATTAGATTTATCTGAGTATTCAAGAGAAGTAAATAAGTTTTTGCTCTCAAGTTCTTCGTAAAACGGTAGGGGAAAAATAACGATAATTTTGAGCCTGTGCCTTTGTTTAGAATTTCGCAAGATTAAGAGTGAAACTACCCGAGTTAACGATCTTTCAAAATATGTAAAGTTTACTTGGGGGAAATGAATGTGGGATTTTTAAGAATTTGTTGGAAATCGTCAACGAAATACCTTAAATCACGCCATGTTGTGTATGCGTGAACATTAACAAAAACAATATCGTTTTTGCTTTAGAAATCATGACAACTCTAAAAGCGTAAATAACAATGCAAATATACTGAGCCCAACTTGGATATGATATTCTCGAATTTTATAGTGCTTCATTTTACCGTTCGGTTTATTTCACTCGTGAGGTTTATCATGAAGCCCGCCGCTGCAGCTACGATCAAAACCGGCTTAATTTCCAACGAATTCTTCGTAGCTCACTTTTCACATTTGCACTCTTTACGCTGTTAATACAAATCTTTCTGAAAATTCTGAAGGAAGCCATAAAAGGGCTGACAACAAAGCCAACTAGTTCAAGCATGTGTTCTCATGCAGTTTACGTGAACCGTTTTGAGACTTTATGCAAATTACATCTTGCTTGAAAAGCAACACAAAATTTGCATATCAGGCTGAGCAAGAGTTCGTGAAAGTAATTGTTACATAGGGTGGATAAGGTGTTTTCAGTGGCCAAGATTGGCTCTTTTAGCCATATGTCTCTTTTCTTTTGTTTTTGACGATCGTTGTTCCGAAGTTTTTAATCAAATCAGTTCAAAACAGGAAAGAGGTCTCGATGGTTTTCAATTAACTGAACTACCCTACGCTATTTGCATAGCGCGACAATATGATATGATAAATTTGCGAACGAGAACTATACTCCCGAAAGAGCAAAAACCTCCATCATTTCCCCAAGAGCAGGAAACGCAAAGTATAGTCTTTCTTAAATTTAGAATTTTTGTTGAGTTCAAGTGAGAAATAAACATACACTAATGAGGTTAATTTAATAGTATCTTATCTGGGTGGCAGGAAAAATGGCTAATTTAATCATGCACATCTGCGCTTAGAAAAGATATCCGTTAAGGTATGCTAGGGTAGACTGGGATAGTTTGCGCCGAAAGCTGGGGAAACCGTGCGTAAGGGCAGCTTGTGTAATTATCACGATCCGGTTTGATTTTCTCTTTTATGCCCCTTTGGTAGTCACTCCAGTTTACTGAGCAGCTCTCAAAGCTCCTGATCAAAATGTCGCTTTCGCTGGGTTCGTTCTTTACACTGTCCACTAAAAGTACTCTGATTGTATTTTTTATCGTTCCTGATCGGTTGATAAAAGCTGACACACACTATAGAAAGATTAACTGTTAACTGAATAACAGGAGAGTAAAGTCAGTGAGAGGTGGTTGGAATTTCTTTCTCAGCCTCAATACATGCCACACCTGACGAGCTTCACTTTGCATCACTTTCGGAATTTGACGCTTGG